GTCCACTCTCCCCCCATGATCTATCTCTTTCTCTCACTTAAAATGATACAATTTTACATCCTTTAAAATGACACATATTTTTCCCTTAATTTGTACATCATTTTTTACTAATTTATATTTCTATTTGCCTAAAATTGTTATTCACCCTATATGTTTTTCCTACATTGATAAGTCAACTCCTCCATGTGAAAATTATATCAAAAAAAATTTCAGGGGCACTTAATGTGCGGACATGAACTTTTTTTCCTCGGTCCGCCACTGCCAACCACCCCCTCCCGCACTAATGTCTGCAGAAAATATTTTTGCTCATGATATATATGATCCAGCCTGGTATATTGATAATTCCGTCGTAGAGGTGGACGAAGGTGTTGTCCTGGACAGTGACTCATCGGACATCGACGTGGATGGCAATTTTGATTCATGTCTGTCCACTGCTGTTTGTTATGCGATTCCTTCATTGGGCATTGTTCGAACGCACGAGCCAAGAGTGACAGGTTAGTATGCCAAAAAAATTAATTTATTAAATTTTAATTTTTAAACATAGCAGAAGTGGAGGCATAGTCCTCATGGGGCGATGAGCCACGCAACGAGTCAGCAGTAAACTAGGCGGGGATGCCATGAATTTATTATAAAAAGAAAATTAAACAATCTTAGTCATGCTAATTATAAATATTAGTATAGCTAAACAACAAAAATATCTCAAACATAATACATTTGTTTCGTCCTAAATTTAATTATTTATAACATTATCTTAAAAATGTAAATTAATTAACATTGTCTAATCTGTGGCTTCAATTCCTAAAATAAATGACATTAAAACAAAATAAAAAATAACTAATTACTAATTAAAATAAGGGAAAAGTATTTCTCCAGTCACCGGAGATAAAGTTATCTCCAGTGAGCTCAAAACGACGTCATTTTGGTTTATAAGATTAAAAATTTATAATGACAAAGACTAATATAACCCTGCAATATATTATAATTACAAAAACACCTTGATTTTCATCCCAAAACGACGTCATTTTGAGCTCACTGGAGATAACTTTATCTCTGGTGACTGGAGAAATCCTTTACCCTTAAAATAATTAACTACCCTAAAATTTACGTATACTAATTAATGTAATAAATATTAAAAATGTCTCTTAGCCTACAATTTTTTGTATTAATACATGCTAATAATAACAATAATAAAAAATAATTAGTAACCTAATTACTAATTAAAATAATTAACAATCCTTAAATAATATTAAACTAATTAAAGTAATAAATATTAACAATATATTTTATCCTATGATTTTTTGTATTAATACATGCTAATAATAACAATAATAAAAAATAATTACTAACCTAACTACTAATTAAGATAATTAACAAATATTTACCAAAAAAATAATAATTAACAATCCTTAAATAATATTAAAATAATTAATGTAATAAATATTAACAATGTCTCTTATCTTACAATTTTTTGTATTAATAAATGCTAATAATAACAATAATAAAAAATAATTACTATCCTAATTACTAATTAAAATAATTAATTACCCTCAATTTACTTATACTAATTTATGTAATAAATATTATAAATGTCATCTATGCTATAATTTTGTATTAACAAATGCTAATAATAACAACAATATAAGTTTACCAAAATAAAACAACAATATAAAAAATAAATACTAACCTAATTACTAATTAAAATAATAAACTACCCTCAAATTTACTTATACTAATTTATGTAATAAATATTATAAATGTCATCTACCTATATTTTTTTTATTAAATGCTAATAATAACAACAATATAAAAAGTAAATACTAACCTAATTACTAATTAAAATAATTAACTACCCTCAAATTTTATTTTTATTTTTTTGGTGAAACTACCCTCAAATTTACTTATACTAATTTATGTAATAAATATTATAAATGTCATCTATCCTATAAATTTTTATTAACAAATGCTAGTAATAACAACAATATAAAAAATAAATACTAACCTAATTACTAATTAAAATAATTAAATACCCTAAAATTTACTTATACTAATTCATCTAATAAATATCAAATATGTAATCTCTCCTATGACTTTTAATATTAACACAGGCTAATAACAATAACAATAATAAAAAATAAATACTATCCTCAAAATGAAAATTCACAAGTAGAGAGACAAATTTTGTAGAGAGAGAGTGAGATGTTAAGAGTGATGGGTGGTAGGGTTGGTGGGGTTTATATAGGGGAGTGGGTGCAAGTATCTCGCTAGGCTGCCCAGCGAAAATGGTTCGTATGTGACACGTGGATGACATGCTACCATTCTCGGTTAGCAGCCCAACGAGAATGGTAGAGTGCTGACATGTGACCAAAAGTACAGCCTTTTTCGTTGGGCAGACCAGCGTAATTAGCCACGTGGGCAACTTTGGTAGATGTGGCAGTCTGCCACATTGACCAGTCATTCTCGCTACATAGATGAGCGAGATTGGTGCACCGCAAGAGCCTGCCACATGTCCAGTTCATTCTCGCTTGTTAGTATAGCGAGAATATGACGTAGTATTTTGGCAAAATTTGATTCGAATGTGCATACCAGTAATTACTATTCATAAGGATGGCATACTCATAATCAATGTCCCTACTTTCTCAAGCTCTCTTTTTTTTTTTAAATTACAGGTATTCTCCACGAGGGACAAGAAATCTTGTTTGAATCTGGGACATTTATATCATGGTTGGGCTAACTCTCTCAAAGGGGATTATTTACATTCACAAAGACTTGATTTCAAAACTTTACTTAAGCAAAATCAAGCATGTACAACTTAAATCAATTCTTTTAATGAGCGCTCTCTCTTATTAGCGTCGAGATCACATGCCATCTTTTTTTTTTTTTTTTTTTTTTAAAAAGGTAGGTGCTCTCATCCTTTGAATAAATATAATCCATTGAATGAGGCTATTGCATGCATGTAGTTGAATTTTGAACTGTAAGCGATCTACATCCTCGTTCTAATATCCGAGTACCTTTTGCATTACGTAGCAGTACTTTGCTATTATAAAGAGCTAGGGTAGGGTAGACGTAATCTCGTAATCTCCATGGTTGTAATAGATATATATATATATATAGAGGGTTTGCATTCTATCATTTAACATGACCACACAAACTTTCCTACACACACAACATTTTGTGAGACCCACATGTTTTAAAGAAAGAAAAAAAAACTACCGGCACGCAAAACGAATCTCTATAACATTACACAATTATTTTTCCTACAACATAACTCTTATAAAATCCACATATATATATATATATATATATATATATATATGAGGCAGGATCTTTTGACACCTCATCTGAGAGCCGTTAGATCAAAAAAGATCTACGACTCTGATTTATAAGCATGTGATACCATTGATCTTTTTTTATCTAACGGCTATCAAATGAGGTGTCAAAGGATCTTACTTATATAATATATATATATATATATATATATATATATATATATATATATATATATATAGGGTTTTATAAGAATTATGTTGTAGGAAAAGTGATTGTGTTATGTTATAGAGATTCGTTTTGCGTGCCAAAGTTTTTTTTTCTGCGGGCCCCTGTGTGTAGGAAACTTTTTGTGGTCATGTTAAATGATAGATGATAAACCCATATATATATATATATATATATATATATATATATATATATATATAGGAAAAATGTGTATCATTTTAAGTGAGAGAAAAAGATAGATAAAGGAAGTGAGAGAATGGACAAAAAAATATAAAGATGTGAATCCCACCTCTTTGTGAGAGTGAAATGACATAAATTGTGTTATTTAAAAGGACAAATATTTTTCTATATATATATATATATATATATATATATATATATGAGCTTCAAGACGAATAAATTATCAAAAGACTAACAGTTGGAATCTTGAAGATGACTGGATAATTCTCACATTGCTCGACTTGAAATTAGTCTTATATATGTGTGAATCTTTTTCTCGTCCGAATAGTAGGAATATCCAAGAGACCTGACTCGACTTATATATTGGATTAATTAAAATTTAAAATCTTTTATCAAAATAATAACACATAAAAAATTATGCATGTTTAAGTTGTGTAAGGGATGAGTGCGTATTTGTGCGTGGAGACTTGGAGGGAGTCAACATTTGCAACATTGCTTGCTTGCCGCATGGTGATTTAAATAGTACAAGGACATGGCTTGAATCCGCACACGACGTAACTTATGCCGATTTGCCCCTTTAATGCACACAATTTCCTTGCGCCTCTCGTCGTATTATTTGAATAAAAATTTTCACACATGCACTGATATGATAAAAAGTTTCGAATTTTGCGCTAAATGGATAAAAGTAGCTATACCCAGTAAAACTAAGTACTGCTCCACAAAGATAGACTATTCGACTTCAATTGCTTCCAATATATTTTAATGTTATTAATTTGATATAATTTTAAATTTTCAAAAAGATACAATTATCAGTTTAAATCAGAACTTCCAAACAGTTTATAATTTTTTATACTTTTTAAATAAAATTATGATAGTCAAGCTCAACTTAAATATAGAATTTAATTTTTTTTAATATTAATTTTATTCATTTGTTTTATTGGCACACGAGAGTTGAGATAAATTTATTTATGTTTTTTAGTGAGATCATGAACAAGAAATATGACTTATCCTCACGGCACAGTTCATTCTCACGAATTATGTATCATAATCATAATGTAACAACTAATAATTGTGACCACAAGTTTTAGTAAGTCATAGTAACTGGTTACTATGTCAGAGGAAGTCAATGTTATGTCCAAAATTTCGCAAAATAATTAAAAAAGCTAAATTCATCTTAATATTTAATATCTATAACTTTAGTAAAAGATATTTTAAAAAATAAAACTACCACAGAATAGTAGTTAAAAACTATCAATTTTTGCAATTTGCACAAGATTAAAAATTAATTCAAAATTATACAATTATTAATAATTACACCAATAGACTAAAAAGGCCACTTTATTCATTGGAAAAAGCTATTTTGTGAATCATGCAAATTACTTTGATTCCAAAGATCTGCATCGTACAATGGAGAAAAATAATCATCAGACTCTGTCGCCAACGGTGCAAGTAGTTCGTTTGGAACATGAGACAAGTCAACCACATAAGGCTCTGTCCAAAAATTTTCAGACGTTGGTTGTGTTGCTTCTAGAAAGGCAAAGTGGTCATTCTCCTTAACTAAACTTTCGCTAGAAAATGACTGTGGAGACAAAGCACAAGCATTCAGGGTCTCTGTAGTGTCTGAACCTTGAGAACTACCATTAACAATGTTTTGCATTATCTCAATTGGGGCATAGGAAATGTCATCCATATACGTCTCTGTCCAGATATTTTCGTTCACGGTCTCTGTGTACGCATCCACAAAATCGAAGTCATCTTGATCCTTTAACAAATTTTCGTTTGTGGTAGCAGTGGTATGATCTGAGGTTACGGAATCATCGTTTTGAAACGTGTCCCTGTCTTGATTGGACCCAGAATCAATTGATTTCGTTAGTGTTACTTCGTTCTTTCGAAAGCGCTTCTTGAGGTTTGTGTGCCAGTGGTTCTTTATCTCATTATCTGTTCTTCCTGGTAAATGAGAGGCTATAATCGACCACCTGCAAAGGAAGGGACACAATATGAAATTAACATTGCACAGTTTAACTAACTAATTATTGACCAATCGAGTAGAAGTATGAATTTGCAAGATCCATTGTTTTGCAAGACCAATTTGATATTAATTTATTAATTAGTTATTATATAGTCCCTTAAGCATAATAATACCTGTTACCCAACTTCTCGTGCAGTCTGATAATAGTATCTTCTTCTTCTCGAGTGTAGTTCCCTCTTTTGATGTTGGGTCTGAGATAATTCATCCACCTCAGCCTGCAACTCTTTCCACACCTAGCCAGACCTGAAAATCCATTATATCAATCCTGATCCAATGAAATTACAACCCTTTTGTATGGAATGTAATGGCAAAATGTTTCAAATTTTCATGTTAATTAAGAAAAAGCTTATGAGAATATATATATATAAAGTGATTTCAAGCATGATAATCAATTGAAATTAATTAATTAATTAGCTTAATTTTAACAAGTCACAAGTATAGGACAATACAAATAGATGTTCAATTTACCTGCAAACCTTGGGAGTTGCCTCCAATTCCAGCAACCATACCTAGTGATATAAGCCATTAACTTCCTGTCTTCCTCTGGAGTCCAAGTTCCTTTCTTCAGTTCACTTTTTTCACAGGAAGGTGTTCTCACCATCTTGGTTGTGTTGGCAAAGCACTTCCCTCACGTATGTGCTTTGATAGAAGGACAAGAGAAGAAACTAATGATCTTCCTCTTTGATCACTGACTTCACTTATTTCGTTAATGGGTCAAAACGTGTTCCATGCTCAACAAAATTCCAATAAACTAAATAATGAAAAACGTTTACTTTGCTTTCAAAGCAGAGGACGTCTCTCATCAGCATAGGTTTTGTCTTTACCCAGACCAATCGAAACTCATATTTTAAATAAATTCTTCTTCTTTTTCTAAATATAGATAGTTAGATTCACAGTATGATATGTAAGCCGCCACCTTCTACTAATCTTCTGAGAAAATAACAGGAAGGTTGCTTTCTAAATCAACACTTGTACGTGGCACTCCACGAACGACCACGAGTTGCTCCACCTTAGCACTGTTGAGAATACATCGTGTGTGTCTGTGTGAATAACGACGGCTCTAATTTTTCTGAAAGAATAATGTTCCGTACTATTGATCAAAAAATAAAATAAAATTGTTCCGTAGTTGCACGACATCAATTTATATCTGTATAAAATTTAGATGATTTTTCTTCGTGTTTTTACTTAAAAATGAGTTTAAAAAGTTTATAATAATAGATGCTTTAGAAAAAAAAAACTCTAAGAAATTAATTTTAATACTTTTCTGAAAAATGAAAAGGAGTGATTTCTCTAAAAAATTCTAAAAATATATTATTTTATAAAAGTATTTATTTTTCAAAACATATCCACACGCTATGTTGCACCGATATCGACACGGAACACAGAATACGACACGACACTCCGACACGTTAATTCTAAAAAATATTAAATTTCGACACATTATGACACTTTTTGATATTATATAATATTTTTAATTTATGTAGTGTATATTATATTTAATATTCAATAATTTAACATAAAAATAAAGCTAAACTTATAATACCAATCAATTTTGCAAAGAAACATAAGATATCTCAAATGTTTATATTAAACTCAATAAAAATGCAACGCAATGTAACTTTTGAACTTTTTTTGAGTCTTTGCAACAAGTATTGAAGTGTCGGAAAGTGTCAGAATATCGATGATTGTCGGGAAATGTCAGACACGACACGTCAGAGATTTTGAAGTGTCGGTGCTTCATAGTACAGTGTCGATGCTTTATAGTCCACACGTACTTCTCGTTTGATTATAATTAGTTTTATTATATGGTTTACATACTTATATATTTTGAAGTATGATAAATGGGAAAAATATGTTTCATTTTAAATGATGTAAAACTGTGTCATTTTAAGTGAGAGAAAGAGATAGATCATGGGAGAGAGAGAATGGACAAAAAAAAGTGTAGGTCCCGCCTCTTTGTGAGAGTGAAATGACATAAATTATGTCATTTAAAAAGACAAATATTTTTTCCATGATAAATATGTGACATGGAAAAGTACAACTAGTTTTCTTTTCCCAAAACTATATCTCGTGTAGTGCAATTAGGGGTGTAAATCAGACCTGTATAAAAAATATTGGGTCTGACATGGTCTGTTCGCCTATGTAGGCCCCAAATTACAAGTCTGGCATGACCTGTATTTAAAAAATAAAAGTCTTGGCATATGACTGTTAGCCTATTTAAGCCTATTAAGCATTCAACAATTAAAAGAATAACTAAAAAAATATTATTTTATTATTCAAAATTATTAAAATAGTAATTTTATTTAAAATAAATAATATGATATACGCTGGCCTGTAGGCTTATAGGCCCGACATGTACAAAAATGTATATGTCCTATTTTCTAAATATATTTTTTTAAAGGCCTAGGTCTATCATATTTTATTATTTGTAATAGGTTAAGTCTGGCCTAATATAAACTAGGTCGTAGGCCTCTGTAGGCTGGCTAGCCCATTTACACCCTTAAGTGCAATTCTTTCTGAAATAGAAAAATGAAAGAAAAATTATCTGCCTTAAAAAAATTATAAAACTTATTTTATTATATTTAACTCCAGATATCTAGAACCAATTCTTTCTTGTTAAAAAAAATTAAAATTTATTCAAAATTTTAATATCCATAAAATATTACTTGATCTTGACTTGATTGAGATATAATTATAAGAAAAATTCTTTCCGAAAACAATTTGATTTGGTTTCACCTTTTGAAAATAAATATTACTCTTATGCTGTTCACCAAAAAAAATAAAAAAATACGCTTATGCCAATTTTTTTAAATATTGAAATATGAAATGTTGAATTTGATTTTAATACGAAATATATTTTAGTTATATTCGTGAAATGCAAACAAAACAAGTTACCGACGGACCACTACGGGAAAAAGCATTGGTTCGGTTAGCGACATCATTATCCTGCCTTAGAGTGTGTAGGGAGTATATTGGATTAAGGTTTTAAAATATTTTGAAGGATGGTTTAGATAACAAAATAATTTATTTGATTTTAAAGGTTTATAACAAAGGGGAGGATTATTTTATAAATTTTTTGTTTACAAACTCTTAAAAATTATACTATGTACTCTCGGAAGTATTCGGTTAGTAATATACTTCCGGAAGTATATAATGTAATTTGTAAAAGTTTGTAAAAAATAAATTGCAAACTGATGTTTTCCCTATAATCAAAGTGTGGTATTCAATCAAGACAATTGAAGATTTTTTTTTGGAGTCTGCCTAGATATAGTGGTATTTGTTCTGTCCTGAAAATAGAGATGTCTAATGTTCTCACCATCCCAAACCCATGTTTAATGTTGTCGTATTAAGATTGATATTCTTGATGGATATCCTTTTTTATTTATATCAGATTTATATTTGAATTGCCCCTTTGTTAGACTTGATGATAAATGAGCATTATATATAAATCCATAACAGTATTCAACGAGGATTTTAAATAAAGAATAAATAATCTATTAGCATTTAAAAATCTGAAAATTTTAATAAATTTCTTAGTAATATGGATTTTGTAGCATTTTTTAATGGGAGATACAAATATTATTTCTGTCTCACAATTTTACACTAGCTCTTCATATTTCTTGGGATTTCTTTAGTGCTATCCTAGCTTTTTCTCAAACATAAAGTATCTTCTTTATGTTCTTCTTATCTCTTGTGTGCAATTTCTTTATATACTTGTTGCTTTATAGACTTATAACACCATATACCTCTCAGTTCTTTTAGCGAACACATTCCATAATCATGGAATAATAGGTGTCAAATTAAAAGTTGCCCCAATTCCATGGGCTCATAATATTGCTACTCGTTTGAATGAGGGGCACCCAAACAATTTGGTCAGATCAGTCCAAGATATATAAGACTCCAAAAAACTTACATTCTTTTTTCTCTATAACTTATGTAATGTATTATCATTCATCACTGAATTCTAACACCACATCAGACAATGAATTTTTAAAATTGTCGTTACACCTTATGGTAACCCATCTAAATGAGTTCAATACAAAAAAAAAAAAAAAAAAAAAAAACGCTTTTTATCTTTGTCACGAATAGGGTGACCTAATGACAGAATAAAATTCAAATTATATATGAAAAATGCTAAAAGGCACAAACATATTTCATCAAATGACTTATGAAGAAGTGAAACGATTTGGTAATTTTTTGCAAGTTACCTTTATTTTTAATTTTGTCTTTTTTTTTCTCTCTTATTATGATTAGTTATTAGACATCTGTAATAACTTTTGAACCAAACCATTAATTAACGCAAATAACATATCTATACGTGTATGATGTGATAGTCAATATTTGTTATTTTTACTTTCATAATCAGCTATCCTCCAACTTGATTAAAGCATAAAGTTATGTGACTTTTTAAATAATCATATAAACTTCTAATCTTATATAAATAGAGATAGAATATTCATACAACCACTTTTTTTACTACCAATCTACTATGACTCTAATATAATTATGTACTTCAAGGAGTATATTAAAAATTGTTTTTCTTTTCTCTCTCTTCAGAAACATTTCAGAGATTGTCGGCTAAAAAGTGGGATCCAACAGTGATTAGAGTGGTAGTGAACTGGTAATAGAAATAACTGACACTATGAATATTCTACCTCGTATAAAAGGGAAGGATCCGTTTACAAACTTTTTGTACAAATTTTTATAAATTACACTATCTTCTCCCGGGAGAAGATTGAGTAACTAGTGTTCTCTCGGGAGAAGATAGTGTAGTTTGTAAGAGTTTGTAAACAAAAAAGTTTATAAATATAACCTTTTTTTTTTTTGGACATTATTTATAAATATAACCTACCCCTATATAAATAATAAAAGTTTATTGAAAAGGGACAATACTCATATGTTACCCTCGTGTTCAAAAATTGTGATTACAATACTGATCAGTAAAATTGTCAAAATAATGGTGTCATCTTATGAATATTTCTGCATGTTTATTCTTCCTCTACTGAGGTAATTATATACATAAATGAGGACTCTAAGTCCATTACGAATTAGCTGTCAATCAGCTATGTATAAGGAAATGAAATAACTTGTTACTATTTCTATTTAACATAAATCTCCTATGATTATGCCAATAACTGCAAATAAGGAAATTAATCTATTTAATACAAATCTCCTATGATTATGTAACTATGTAATAAATAATTAAAATTTTAACAATTGTACAGCTCAACAAATATTATCTCATTTCAACACTCCTCCTCAAGTTGGTGCATATATATCAATCATGCCCAACTTGCTAATTGCTTCTTCAAACACTTTTCCTAATACAGCCTTTGTTAAGATGTCGGCTAACTGATATTCAGATTTGATGTAGAGAAATTGAATAATTTTTTGATCTAGCTTTTCCTTGATAAAGTGTCTATCCAATTCTACATGCTTGGTTCTATCATATTGAACTGGATTATGGACAATTTCAATAGCAGCTTTATTATCACAATGTAACTCCATAGGTTGATTGTAGCAGATTCCTAAGTCTTGTAGGATGCTCTTAATCCACAACAATTCACACACTCTCTGTGCCATTCCTCTAAACTCTTCTTCTGCACTTTGTTAT